GGCCGTGTCGGAGGGGTGGGTTTGCTGGAGCGCAGGGAGGGACCCTCGGACGGGGCCGAGGGAGCTGACGGCGGCCGGGCAGCACGGGAGGAGGCTGGGGGGAGATGCAGCGGATTAAACTGGGCAAAGCGCCCCGCTGAAGTGCAGTGGGCACTGGCGTGCGGCAGGAAAAGCCCTGCGGAGTTATCCCTGCTGCACCGACGCTGCTCAGCACCGTCAGGGACCGCTCGGGTCCTCAGCAGCATGTGGCTCTGCCAGCTTATCTCTGATCTTTAAGCAGGGCTAGCTAGTGCTTGCAAGTGATTTAATAAAAATATGCTGTAGGCTGTGGTTTCTAGTAAGTAAACATGTGCCTTTAATGCCCGACACGAAACCAAAAGCTGCCAAGGAAGTTGCTGCATCTGAAGGCAAACGATTTTTTCAGGGAGGAGCGTGACTGAGGCTGCAGAAGGCTTTGGAGGTTCACTCTTCCACGCTCCAGTGTTGCCGTGGTAGTGCCAGGGGGTCTCCCCGGAGGGCCCAGTGTCTGCAGGGTCTTTTCCAGTGGTGCAGTCTCCAAAGGATTCCTTTTGGGTGCAGCGCTTTGGGTCTAAGCCCGCCGTGAAATGAGCCCGGTCCGCAGGCGAGCGGCGTGCACTTGCCGTGAGCTGTTTGACTTGTGCGCTCGAGTGTGGTGTAACCTGGCCTTGAGGAGGCTTTGAAAGTGGAAAATACTGGATCAGGAAATATGAGTCACTCCCGGGCTTTGGAATTTATTGATGGATTTGTTTCAACTGCAGCGGGGCTATCTCCAACTCACATGTGCAAAATAAACAAGGTGCTCGGACCGGTGTCCAGAAATGTCACACGAAGAGCCGCGAGGATGGCCCTGAATCGGGATTGGGGTTGCTCGGTGCAGGAGATCCAATTAGAGGGATTAGGAGAATGTGCAGCAATTAAAGAAATCAGGCACTTAGGCCCCTGTTTGTCCCGGGGACCAGCTCCCGTCCTCTCGGCACACTCCAAGTGCCTTTGAGCGTCTGATCCCTAAACACGGACCTGAAATCCCGGGAAGTGGCTCTGGCTGAGGGCACCCGGTCCATCTCACCAGTATCCTGCCCCGCTGCAAAAGCGGTGACTAAGATCATCACCGCGAGGCCCTTTTAATCTGCTTTCTGTCTTCTTTTTTTTTACTTCTTGAGTTTATATTTCCCACTTTCCTCAACAACCGTGACGGTTAGAAGTTAATGAGTATTGAGAGTCCTCAGCTGTCCCTGACAGCAGGAGCTTGGACTTGGGGGACAAAATGGCAAAGGCTGGGGATGTGCCATGTCCCGGCACCGTGCTCCGGTGGAGCTGGAAGCCGGTGCCAGCAAAGTCCTTCACCGCTGCTGCTTCACTGTTTATTAACACGGCGTTCAGGCATCCCAGCCGGGGTCTGCAGCCCTGGGGCGGTGGGAGCTGTGTGCGTGGAACTGAAGGTGCCCCAGCGAGGCTGCAGCCCGCCCGCCTCTTGGGAGGGGGCTTTGCTAATCCCCCCCCTCCAATCTCCCCGCTGGAGCGGGTGGGAGGCAGGGGAGGGGGCCAGGAGCATCCCCCTTGGCTGTCTCTGATGGTGTCTGTCCTGCCTTGTTCCTTGGCAGATCTCCGTTTCAGGGGGTGAGCGCCCTGACCAACATCCACAGCTTGTCGCACCACAACCCGCAGCAGTCCCAGAACCTCATCATGACGCCGCTCTCGGGAGTCATGGCCATCGCACAGAGTAAGCGCGTGCCCCGAGCTCGCCTCCGCCCCCCACGTGGACCCCCCCCCGGTTTCCTGCGACGGGGAGGGGGACACCCTGCCCGCTCACGCCAGCACTGACGTCCCTGTTCTGCTCTCTCCCTCCTCCCAGGTCTGAACACCTCGCAGGCGCAGAGCGTACCTGTTATCAACAGCGTTGCCGGCAGCTTGGCA